CTTAAGGTATGACTAAAATTTAATCTGTTCATTGGGTAGTACAAAGAAAGAAACTGTAACAGTCCATAAAGTTGAGAAATAGGAATTTGCTAAAAACTTTAAATCATTTTGTTTTGTTTAGACTTGATCTTCTACTAGTCAATCACAGTGGTAAGATTTTTAGACAGAGTCATGGTTAGAGTCCACTAAATAGAGCTCTTGCAGGTGTTTTGTTAGATTAATTTATCAGAACTGTAAGCAAGGAGAGTAATTAAATGCACATGCTCTTAACTAGGAGGCCTCGGATCCCTAAAAGGGTTGTAGATAGAATTTAGGAGATCCTGGAACTTAAATGGGAAAACATTATATTATTTATTCTAATTAATTTCTTATTAAAATTGATGACTATCGATTACAAATGTAAGGACCAACCCACAGTAGTATTATCAATACCAGCCACACTATAACCAACAGAAACCATAGATATAATTGTGTTATTTTCCAGTTGCTATAGCCATCTTAAATACTATTTATTTATTCATTCATAACTGTGGTTAAAAAAAGATAACATAAAACTTACCATCTTAGCTACTTTAAAGTGTATATTCAGTAATATTAAGTATAATCATGTTGTTGTGCAACAGGTCTCCAGAAAACGTTTAATCTTGCAAAACTGAAACGTTATATTCATTAGACAGTCACCCTTCATTTAGACCTCACCTCAGCCCTTAGCAACCATCATTCTACATTCTGTTTCTGTGAGTTTGACTACTTTAGATATTTCACATAAGTGGATTCAATAGTATTTGTGTGTGTGTGTGTGTGTGTGTGTGTGTGTGTGTGTGACTGGCTTATTTCCTTTAACATGATATCCTCAAGATGTATGCATGTTGTAGCATGTGGCTAGTCTTACTTCCTTTTTAAAGCTGAATAATGTTTCATTACATTTATATACCACATCTGGTTTATTCATTCATCTGTCAATGGACATTGGGTTGCTTCTACCTCTTTGCTATTGTGAATAATGCTGTGATGAGCATGGATGTACACATATCTCTTTGAGTCCTTGATTTCAATTCTTTGGGATATATATCCAGGAGTCAGATTGCTAAGTCATATAATAATGCTATTTTTAATTTTTGAAAAGCCACCATACGAAGTTCCAATATTGTCGCACCATTTTATTCTCCCACCAATAAAGGTTCCAAATTCTCCATCCTCACCAACATGTGTTATTTTCCATTTTTTAATAATATCCGTATTAATTGGTGGGATGTGCTACCTCATTGTGGTTTTGATTTGCACTTCTCTAATAGTTAGTAATGTTGAACATCTTTTTATATGCTCACTGGCCATTTGTATATCATATTGCTATAAATGCCTATTTGAATCCTTTGCTCACATTTTTTTTTAGATTAGAAAATATAGTTTAATGGGCAACCCCTTCGGGTCCCCTCCCACTGTGGAAGCTTTTCTGACCTCTTAATAAATCCTGCTTTCTGAAAAAAGAAAGAAAGAAAGAAAGAAAATATAGTTTATTTAGAAAGTAAATTAGTGAGAAAGAGGGGATTCACCTTCCCAAGGGAGGGGAGTGTGTCAAAGCTTAAGGAAACATGGCTTGGTCATAGCTCAAAGAGCACACAGCCACACCATAGCTTACTTCACTCACGTTTTAATCGGGTTAATAATTTTGTTGTTGTTGAGTTGTGGGAGTTCTATATATACTTTCAATATAAGTTCCTTATCAAATATGTGATTTACAGATATTTTCTCCCATTCTGTAGGTTGCCTGTTAATACCGTTGTTTGTGCCCTTTGAGCTACAGATGTTTTTAACTTTGGATGCAGTCTCAGTTTTCTAATTTTGCTTTTGTTGCCAATACTTTTGGTGTTACAGTCACAACTTTATTGCAAAATTCAGAGTCATGACGTTTCCCCCTCTATTTTCTTTCAGAAGTTTTATAGTTTTGGGTCTTATATTCAGATCTTTCATTCATTTTTAGTTCATTTTTGTATATGGTGTATGATAAAGGTCAAACGTCAATCTTTTGCATATGGATATCTAATTTTTCCAACACCATTTATTGAATAAACTGACCTTTTAATAATATTATTTACATAAATCACTCCTTCAACATTACATTAGATATTACCTAAACTCAAAGATGCATATTGTTATATTATGTATTTATTTTTAACCATGTTCATAAATGCATTTCAGAATAATTTATTTTATTTGTAGCACATTCCAATTCATTTTGTGCATTACTGACATTTATGCATTGATGACTTTAGGAATTTATTTAATGCCTATGTGTTCATTTAAAAATATAGGGAGAGATCAGCAGGCTTTCTCAGGATGTCACAGGTTTTCATGACCTCAGAAAATTTTAAGATATCAGTGATTTCTTTTGTTCAGTAACTCAGGAACAGATGAAGTCTGGCACTAGGACAATCATAATAACAAATATGTAAGATAGAGAAATGGGCAAAAGTCAGCATGACTAAGTGATTAACTAAATGCCAAGAGCCAACTAGAAAGTTAAGACAATGCTGACCATCAAATTTTAACTTGTTCACAATAGCAAGAACCTGGAAGCAACCATGCTGTCCATCAAAAGAGGACTGGATTCAAAAAATGTGGTACATATACACGATGGAATACTACGCAGCCATAAAAAAGAACAAAATCATGAATTTTGCAGCAACCTGGATGGAACTAGAGTCTATAATACTGAGTGACCTCTCACAGAAACAAAGATCTGAGTATCACATGTTCTCACTCATAGTGGACCTTGAACATCCAACATAATACTATAAGAGAATGACTGACAGTGGTGGGAAACTATGGGGGAGAGGGGAAGGGAGATGGGATTAATGGTAGTAAATATCTTTCTGGGGATGGGGAGATACCTCTTATCAACAAGGGTGCCTGAATGAAGCATATTTGTATACCTAACCCTTAACTGTACCCCACAATATCATAATAAAAAATATTGACTATAAAAAAAAAAAGTATTTTCAAAAAGGAAAAAAAATTTAACTTGGGTGACTGCTTGGTTGGTGGTATGTAATTTTAGGAGTCTGCAATCTGGAGGTTGCATTTAAAATCATAAGAGTGTCCAAAGTGAGGACCAAACTTCACCTGTACAATTACCACTTGTATATCTAATCCTGAATTATACCTCACATACTTAAAAATAATAAATAAATAAAATTAAATAATAAGATAAAATAATGAGAGTGCCTGAGATCATCCAGAGAGAGAAGATAGCAAAATACATTGACTCAGAATAAAGCCATAGGAAACTAATATTCAAAGAATAGTCAATTCATTATTATTAGCTATGGTGACATGCAATACATATAATATGTCAGGAAATAGAACTACATGTAAGTAATAAAACTTTGGCAATTGATCAGTGGTTAATTTGTAAAAGACTATTGGTTCTGACTCTACACTGCATTTATAATTTTTGCACCTGCAATTATTTACATGCAAAAAATAAAAAAAAAGTACAGCCACAGTTGCCTAATTATAGGCACAATCATCCAAATTTGTTCTCAAAAAGAATAGCACAAAGAGATACCATCTGTGAAAGTGCAGCAAACCCCTCAGACCTTTCCTGCTCCAAATTCTATAGGACTGGTGGGCACATTTCCCTTTTGGCTTCTGTCTCAGGCTTTGTTCTTGCCTCATCTTAGGAATGCATTACAAACGATCTGATGAGCAGAGGGTTGACAGGCCTTTCCTCTTATCCAACCAGTATGTCCTCCTATGCCCCCATTCTAATATGTACCACAGTATAGGTACCTGAAAACAGAAACAGTTACACACCATTTGCCTTCCTGGCATGAGCAGATTCTTTTTTTGTTTTTTGTTTTTTGCACATGTATTTTTACAAGGTAGGTAACTTGAATGCTGTGAAGACAAAATCTCATACAAGTTTCTGCTTAAAGGTAACAAGAAAATTATTTTACTCTACTTTAAAAAAAAAGTTTTAGCCATGTATTAAAAACACAACTGTCAGTTTTTATCAAATATATTCATATTTCTCTATTATATTATTAGGGACATCATGAAATTTAATAGTTGTACCTTAGAGTTTGATCTTCCATAAAAATGTCATAACACAATCAGTACTATACAAAGTAATTATTGAACTATGTGGAGACAGCTATGATTTCAGGTGGGAAATATGTAATAAGAGATGAGAAATATAAAACCCGAGTTAGCGCTTGATAAAGATTCTGTTCTCATACAAATGTCAGTGATAATAAATGTGGGGATAGCATAACCTGCTTTATGAAAATGAAACAGATTCCAGATAGAATAATTTTCAAAGGTTTTCATTATAGTTCAAATATTGTTTGCTTATCATTTAATCATATCAAACACATTAAATCAGATACATTACTCGTGGTAGAAACAATATGCATTTTAAGAATGGAAAATTCCATAGTTCATTAGACTAATGACTAAAATCAGAATGTAACATGTTTCTTCTATATAAAATCTATATTTCTCCACTCTATAGTATTAGCAGTTGTCATAAAGTATTGTCATGAGGCCATTAGGTACAAATGAAAGCTTAAGGATTCTAAAATGCCCACAATTTTTTTAAAAATTACATTGAATAGGAAGGCACATTTTTGTTTTACTCCCTTTGTCTCAGTGGTGTGTGAGTTATGAAGAGTTGAAGCAGTAGTTAGACACCAGCCTTATGTTTATGGACAGTGGAGAGCATGTTTGGACATTGGAAATATGATGAAGTAATTTAGATTGAGTAAAGATGAACATGTGAAAAAAATGAGAATTTGAGAAGAGGAAACATCATTCCAAAAGAGAACTAATTAGAAGTAAAAGGTTGGTCAGGCATTTGTTCTCTCATATATAACTGAACATTTCAATGAATACAATCAAAGTTCAAAATATTATTAATGGCACAATAAGCATAAGTCATTCATCTTTACATAGGGTAGAAGAACATTTTGCATGTTAAAAAGTATGATGCTACTCACATCCTGAGCTACCATTTGTTGACACCAGGGTCAAGTTGGAAGGCCATGGATTCCGAACAATATCTTGCCAATGAATGGTGTCTGCATAACAAAGGAATTTGTTCTGGTCTACATAGACTCCACCATTTAGGATTTCTGCATTAAAAACAGACAAACAAATTTATTATCAAACTGCTTGTTGATGAAAAGGTAGTCAATAAAAATGACTTTCTCTTAAACTATTTTCAATGTTAGAGTCACCTTGCTAATAGCCAGGATATTTTAAACAATATTTTTCATTAAGCCATATACAGTAATTGCAGAAATTTGAAAAGAGTATAAGTTCAAAAGTAAAAACAAACAAACAAAAAACTCATGTTTCTACCTCAGAGAGAAACTCTCCTAACTTAATTTTGGTATAGATAGCACCAATTTCTTCTGTTTTTCTCCCTGAAATCAGAATAATATTATATATAACATTTTATAACCTGCTAGGTTTGCTGAACATTATATAGTGAGTATTTAATGGCAATTAATTATTATTCCATATTATTTCAATAGGAATATGATATGCCATAGTATAAATTATATAGTAATTAATCTCCTCTTATTGGTCATTTAACTTATTTTCTGTGATTAGTCTTTAAAATAAATTTCCAAAGCTTTGTCCTTCCTTATGAGTGATCTATAACAGAAACAAAAAATTGAATATCATGTGTTCATACTCATAAGCAGACCTTGAAAAATTATCATAATACTATAAGAAAGGGATCGGTAGTTTTTGAAAACTGCCAGGGGAGGGGGTCACACCTCATTAACAAGGGCATCGACATAAGAACACTTGTATACCTAACCCTGAAGTGTACCCCACACCTTTAAAATAATAAAAAATAAAATTAAAAAAATTTCCACAAATGATATTTAAGATTCATAGAATGTGAACATTTTTAAGACTTTTGGTACAAGTTGTCAAATTACCCTTAAGAAAGATTGTTTCAATCAATGTCACCTTGACTGGAATCAGTAGGCAAGTTATTAGCATAAAGTAGAAGCAAAACTTATTGCCTCAATCACGCAAATATTCTTTGTCATCTCAAATGAAATCAATAGAATTGCCAATTATCCTTTAAGAATAATGCAAAGAAAGATATAATGAAAACCCTATGGTTCATTAGAACAAGGGCATGGTTGTGGGATAAAATGCACTCATGTCATTTCTTAATTGATTATTTATTTTGTAACATTGGCCTTAATTAGTTAATCTGTCCCCCATAAACAGTGACTGACCACATGCATGGATTCTCTTTCAGAGCTTTACATTATCCAGAAAAAAAAGTGAGATATACTCTCTGAAAAGACTATTATTATTTGAAGAAACTCAAGAGAAATACAAAATAGTACCTTCCTGCCCAATATCTGCCTTATTTTCCCCCTCCTGTCCAATACAAAAACAATTTAAGAGAAGTCATGCGTCAGTCCATAAAGTGTTCAGCAAGTAACAAAAATCCAACTAACAGTGGTGTATTGAGATCAATTATTTTTCTCATATAATAAGAAACCTAAAGGAGGCAGTTCCAGATACGAATTCAGCTGTTCCACAGTGCTCATTGTCTGTTTTGCCATCCTCAGTGTGTTGGTTTTATCAGTTCCAGGAACAAGATGGATGCTGCATCTAAAGCCGTCAGTTCTGATTTGCAGGCAGGATGAAGACAGGAGAGCAAGTATAAGACTTTTTTCTAAGGAAGCTCTGACTTTCTATTTGGGAAGAGATGCTCTTTTCTAGGATTGTGTCTGCATTTTCTTGGCCATGAAAACGTCCCATAGCTACCCCAACTGCAAGAGAGACTTAGTAAGTAACTATTTAAGTGGAGATAGTTTGCTACTTAAACAAAATTCAAACTATCAGGGATGCTATTGAGGAGGAAGAGGAACATGGATATTGGGAAGGCAACCAACTCTGTCTCCCATGGTATCCTTGAGAAAATCATCTCTTTTGCATAGTACTCTAGGTTAAAATTTTAAGAGTCACCTTTAACCAAAGAGGGAGATAGTGAATGTTAGGAACACGTGACACTGCTAGAAGAGAATTTGTGGAAGTGAGATTGGTGGCCGAAGTGAATGACTGCATCACATGAATAAACTCCTCCGGACTAATGTTGGTACTGCAGAGTTTTCCACATTTAAAATCCCTCCTATGTTCATTATCAGTCCTTTCACTATTGGTTCCATTTTCTCAGATGAGGAGGAAAAAGAAATTAGATCATCTTTCTGTTTCTAAAACCCAGTTCATTATTTTCATGATCTAACTATGTATCAAAGCAGAAGGGAGTTGTAAGACATAAGAGAGATTGTGAAAATGGATTTCTACATTAATGTTTGGCATTAAGTTTCTGTACAAGAAATGTGACTTTCTCATACTAATAGCTTTCTCATGAGACATTAGGTGATGCTCTTCTGCTCTAAGAATAATTCTCCATTAGGCGACAAAGAAGGGAGATTTTGACTGCTATCCAGGAAATTAAGGTTATTTTTTTAGTCTCCATTTAGAAAATTTCTACTTAAAAAAAAAAAAGTGAGAAGGTGATAGCCCGAACACTGTGGAAAGTCTGTGTTTTTTCAGGCATCACATTTTAATTCACATAGTTCCTGCAAAGAAACACAGTATCCATCTCCAATTTCCTATCCAAAATGTTTCAAATACAATCAGATTATATTATACTGAATAATAATCTTATCAAATCCCCTGTTTCAACAATATCAATCTACTGTGAAAGTTGACATCTGTTTCTTAGAAATATTCTGTTCAAGAGCTTGGTTTATACTTGGAAAAGGGATTTAGAATGGAGATAATAATAAGTCAAGTATAAGCTTACATGTTGAAATTTCAAATTAAGACACAATCATGATCAATCTTGTATCATCTCCAATTCAAAACTCAGCATCTGCTAGCTATTCTGGTCAGGAGGCACTATACAGATTTTTAGCATATAATGATGGTTACATTATTTGTGTGTGTGCACTTTCCCTTAAATTTTTCTCTTTTTTCTCCATTATGTTTGATATAGACCCTATTCTGCTATTGAATGTCAAAAATCCCATAGTCAGAGGACGTAGTTATTCACTGGCATTTATAGGAGAGTTTTAATGTAAACTTTGTCTTACATTTTCTTTTGAAAATGTAAATGTGTATCAGAAAATAATGCTACAATTGCAATTATACACTTTTAAGTTTCAATTGATTTTATAGCTTTATACAATTTTAAAAATATTAATTTAATATATTTTGTGAGAAAATATTCAGTAAGATGTATTTGTGAACTAAGAAAATTTGGGGGACTAAATACAGACCTGTAAGAAAGTTCTTAGAGACACAAATCACTTAATTGTCAAAAGGAATACCTAATGTTTCTGCCATGGTTAACTACAAAGACTTGACTACATTTTTAGACAAGAAAGCAGGACAAGGATCGGCAAAAGAGAAAACTTGTGAAGATGTTAACCAATAAAATACCACAAAAATGTCTGGCTGTATTTAGATCTAACGTTAGTAACACACAAGAATAGCAAAGTTTTCCACAAGTTTAATTAGAGATTTATTGGAAGGAATCATCTGTGTTACACTAACACTTTTCCTGCAACTAAAGTGACTAATACATACATTTTAAGACTAGGACAAAACAAAAACCCAATTTATAATCTAAGAAAGCTAGGCAAATGAAGCACAAATTTAACTGATACCCAAACAAACATGCAAAAAGTCTGGAAAATGGCAGAGACTAAAAAGTGTTGAGTAAGTGAATAAGCTCAAGGTAATCTCATTCCACTGTATTTCGTTCCATTGTGGAAAATATATCAGAATAAATTAAGAGAGACACAGGTACATTCTTGGTCATTTAATCAATTGGTAGAAAAAGACTGCTCTGAGTTTTCTTATCATATTATATAAAAATATTTCCAGCAAGTTCATAAAACAGAAGTCACTTTGTAATAAATGTCACAGTTAAATATAGTAAGATATATTTGAAATGACATCTGTGGAAAAAAGTATCATTTCATTCCTAAAAAATCCAGTGAACACTTAAATGCGTTTGTGTCTCAAACATTTCCTACTAGATTGATGCATACAAGTCAAGTTAAAGATGTCATGAATCTTTTTGTATTCAGATTAAATAAATTGTAATTCACACTGCTCTTCAATATGTTGCATTTTACTTATATATAGCACACAATTTGTAACTGAAATGTCATTAGACTAAGCTCCATGAAGGCAAGAAATATTGTTCAGTACTGTTTATCTATAACATCAAACCTTGAGCAACAGTTAGACAATGAATACTTGTTAGATTTAACTAGAAAAAAAGTACCATGGATTTTGCCACCAACATTAACAAGTCAGTTTCTGTTGTATTTCTTAATTTTAAAATATATTCTGACCAAAGCAAAGTAAGAAGGAAAGTTACATTTTCCCATGAACACACTATAGAGCACCTTATCTGGTTCTATGTTTCCTTGAGTGATGGGCAATTACTGCTTTGTTCAAAGCTGCATCCCCAGTTTCTAGTATTATGCAAGACACATGGAGATACACGACACATATTTGATTAGGTAAAAATCTATATGTAATATCTTGAGCATAAGAAAAATTAAAAACATTTATATATATACATATATACTTCTGTGGCTAGTGAGTTTATAAACTGAAAGGGAAGTAACTTTTTTCATATAAAGTGCTTATAACTGATAACTTACACAATTACTGCAGTATATTTGATATTTATAAGGCATTTTTATCCTCAAACCTATTTTGTGCACCAAACAATTATTAGTTACTGGGTAAATAATAGTGATTTTTATCTATCCCAGTCAGACCAAATTCCCCCAAACCTGTGCAAGTTATTTACTTAGCATATGCTCTAGAGAAATCTGAAAGCATGTTTTTATATTGAACGGTATCTACTTGATATTTTCCTTAAATAATTTTTTGGAAAAGTGTGAAGTGCCAATATGATATTTCAAAGAGGACCACAAAGGTGGTCACTATACCATTTCTTTCCTTGATTTTCTTGTGCTTGAGCCTAATAAAGAATGTTTGTATTATTTAAGTGACTTCTTTTGTACTCTTCATTTTTTGTTAAATCTAATTATTATACTGAGTT